AATGGAATACTATGCTGCATGGAAAAACAAGGAACTCATGCAATATTATTCAAAATGGGTGACTCTGGAGGACATTATGCTGAGTGAAATATCTCAGTGACAAAAGGACAAATACTGCATGGTACCATTGTTGTAAAACAGGACTGACCTTGGATTTGGGGAGAGACTGGGAAAGATGCGTTCAATAATGTATACTGCATTGAAACAGATGAAGGAGAAAACTGTTTAAAAGGGATATGTGATTAGGTATTTTTGTTATGACAGGAGACTAGAGCAAAGGCTACATGGACCTGGGGGAGGTTTTGTAAAACAATGAAAGAATTTTTCTTTTACTTTTCCAAGAGGGTAGTGTTCTGGGGGGAGGTTTGGGAGGGGAGAAATGTGCAACAGTGAATGAATGGAAATCCAAAGTCTCTGTAAATTTTTACTGAAATTAATAATAGATTTAAATTTAAAAAATTTAAGTTAGAGTAAGGAAGGCAATGGATTTATAACTGCTCATGCAAATAACACTATATCATGGCATGGAGGAGGAATAGTGGAACTGTATTTACACATTTACAATATTCCTTTTACCAAAACCGTTTATGGAAAATAGGACCTGCTGGAACATGTATCTCTGGATTGGAAATGATAATTTTGATAATATTTCTAGCCTTAAACTTAAAATATTATGTTGTTCAAAATTATTTGTTATATATTTCTTTCAATTTTCCCCTCTTTTAACAACTGGGATCTAGAGGGAAGAGAAAACACCAGAGAATGGCCAAAATTATTGGGGCAGCTATTGCTGCCAGCTTAGGGCCTGTGTCAGGAAAAGGAAGTCCTACTCATAAACAATGCCAACCAAAGGTAATAAAGGAGGTCAGAAAGGAGGTGGAAAGCTGGGTCACTTCAGTAGACAGTGTCGTAGATGAGAGCCACAGATAGGCACGGGAGTAGAGAGGAAGTTCCCACTCACTTGCTTTAAGTGTGGATCTGAAGGACACTTGGCCAAAGGTGGCCCACATCAGGTCCT